CCCCAAAACCCCAAAACCCCAAAACCCCATGTTAGCAAAATAAAGTTAAGAGAAGAATGCCTAAAATATAATTTGAAATAAATATAATAATTGAATATGAACAAACTAGATAAAAACAAGCAAATTGAGCGACCTAAAGTTGAGCCCCTTGGAGATATCAGAATTGCTGAAGCTAGAGGTAAGCATTCCCATAATACACTTTTCTATTTAATTGCTCTGCTTAACCTACTATATTCATACAGGCTTCCTTGAGTAAATGAAGAAAGATACATCAGAGGCAATCACTAAGATCAGATCAAATACTGATGCTGCTGAGAATCAAAGAAGAATTCAAGAGGAGAAAATGAAAAAGGAAAGGTAAGATAGCATGCGTCAATATTTAATAAACTTATAGAGCAGCTGCAATTCAAAATGAAGTTATCACCAGTCATAAAAAGAATGTTGAAATCGATTGGAATTGGCAAGAACTTGAAGAGAAAGAAGATTGTGAGGAACTTGCTAAGGTATGAAATTAACTACATTACTCATATCGTTCATTAATTTAATAACCGTTTTCTTATAGGATATTGAAGTCCAAAAAGGTGAATGTAAAGCAATCATTGATTAGAAAGACAACCTAATCAGAATGTTTATGGAGTAGCTAAAGATGAAGGATGAGGAATACGTCAAGTCCCTCAAGCGACAAAATGACGATATAGATGAGTTAATTAAGGCTATGAGAAAGTAGTTCAACGATATGAGACAAGACTATGCAGACTAGCTTAACAATATTGAGAAGGCTTTCAATGACGAGAGAGATCAGATTTTAGAAAAGAATAGTAATGAGATCAAGAGTCTTTTCGATGAGCATAGAAAGCTTGAAGAGCACTTCCAAAGAAAGAGAGCTGAGGATGAGGAAAACTATGCCAAGCAACTAGAAGATCTAAGATCAAAGGACGCAAATGATCAAGCCGAATAAAAGATTAAATTGGAGAAGGAAATGTAAATTCTAGAGAAGTGTATGGAAGATATGAAGGCAGTCTACAGGCTGAATGAGGAAAAATTAGAGTTTAATCACAAGGTCCTTAAGGAAAGAGAAAAAGTTAACTCTAACACCATCAGTGGATTAAAGAATAAGGATCGTAGAAATAAAGATATTCTTAGGACTGTCAAAGACAAGTTTGAAACTCAGTCTAAAAACTACCAAAAGGAGAATATTAAATTGACTGAAGACTATAAGAAATTCACAAAGTAATTCAAAGAACTTCAGAACAAATTCAAGAGATTTGAAAAGAGTGATGAAAACAGATTCAATGAAATTTGGACCATGAATGAAAACGAGGTTAGAGCTCTTATCAACAAAATTATTCAAGCAGATAGAGTGATCCATATGCAATAATTAGGTATTCCTTGGTAACCACCTACTGATCCAATCTTTGGATTCACTGATGCAAATCAAGCCAGTGGCGGTGCAGGTGGAAGTTAAATGGGCCCCAACACTTCAATCATGGACTCTTCTAAGCATGGAATGTCAAAATCAGAGTTTGTAGATGATTAATCAGTAGCTACCGGGTAGCAATATGACTACAAAGTTTCGATCTAGAGAATCAAAAATGTTTTCAATCTTCTTATCACAGAGTGCCCTTTCTTGATTGATGACAAAGCAATGATGGAATCAATGAACAAGCCAATTAAAGAATAATTCACAATTCAAATAGACTCAATACGTAAATCACTTGGTATTGATAACATGGACGATGTTGAATTATTAGTGCTTACATTCTTTGAGTTTTCAGATAGAAAGAAATAAGAAAGAACCTAAATGGAAGATGAAGAGGAGCATTTGTCTCAATAATAATAGCTTTAACTTCAATAAGAGGGTTCAAAGAAGGCTACAAAGAAACTAGAAGAGAACAACAATAGAAAGATGAGTGACTACGGTGATGGCAACTAGGATGATCAATAAAATCCATAGTAGGAGAAAAATGAAGATGATGATCAATTGATGACTGATATGGACGAAGTAGTAGATATTCTCAAAGAATTCCATAAGAGAAGAGAGGAAAGAGCTAACAATGCTGAATTACTTGGAAATCCAAGAATGAAGAAGAGATCAAACTTTGAGACTGAAGAACAGAAGAAGGAACGCGTCAAGAGGGAGGAGAGAATCTTCTGGGAGAAGATGACTACTGTGCTCAATGAATAAAAGCTATCAGTCTGGAGAGCACTTGATAAAGCTCTCAGCAGGTACTACAGTCTGCTAGTAGAAAGATAAAACTTAATTGAAGAGACTGGATTGCTCAATCAATAGAACGAAGAACTAAAGACCCTACTCAATCAATATCTACAAGCTGGTGTCAATCACGAATTACATGTGCCACCTACTTAGGTTATCAGACTCGATATTTGATATCATTGAATAAGTTCTGAGGAGAAAGCAATAAGATGATAAATATATAAATTTAAATAAATATTTTAATTAATCTATGAAGTTAAGGTATTCCGAGTAAACAAATAATAATTAATAATAGGAGGATTCTAAGATATCATTTTGTTTGGTCTTATAACTCTCTAGGGTTAGCTCCTACCTTTTCTAAATTGCTGTCTAATGTGCTAGTTAAGTTAAGCAATAGGGTGTCTGAATCTAAAAATGCTCTATTTCTGCTCTTTGAAAGGGCATCTGCAATATCTCTAGCTGCTTCAATTCTTTTAATCTAGATGTAAGCTCCTGATTTTCCAATAGCGGGTCCGAGTAGCTCAGCAGCTCTGGCCTCTCCTTAAGCCTTAATGATTGTAGATTTCTTATCCTGGGCAGCTTGCATAACCATATATTGTGCTCTTTATGCTTATTGTTAAGCAATTTGCTTCTCTTCGACTGCTCTGGTATAATCTTGAGAGAAAGATAACTCAACAATAGAGATATCATCGACTTAGATCATAAAGTCCTTAGCTCTCTCTTATAGAGTGGCTCTAATAAAATTACTAACATCTTCTCTCTTTGTAAGTAATTGGGATGCATTATATTAAGCTACAACTGCTTTTAATACTTCATTTGCGATTGAAGGAAGAACTCTTTAATCGTAATCTGTACCAAGGAATCTGTATAGATCTGGGAGTCTTGATTTCTCAGGGCGATACAAGATTCTCAAACTTATATTAACCATTTGCAAGTCTAAATTCATTCTCATTAGAATCTTGATGAATGTTTACCTTATGATCCAGTGACTGACTTAAGAGTAAGTGGTCTAGATTGCAAGTCATAAACAATTGGTCTCTCGAACCATGGCATCATCAAATGCCATCCTTCCTTGTAAACTTGATTTTTAACTCCGTAAATTTTATTGAAAACGATAGCTCCATGACCAGTATCAACTAAGATTAATTAAATTGAATAGTTGTAGACTTACCATGGAAAATAGTGTACTTGTAACCGAAGTATAGCATAAAGAGTGGGGCAAGTGCGCTTGCACCTAGTGAAAGTTGCTTCTTGTAATTCATATTTATTAAAGATTTGCAATTATTGATTATATATGAACGATAAAATTATTATTAACCCTTAATTAAAAGTCACTCTCAGTTATTTTTATAGTTCTATATTTTTATTTTTTCTCTTTTAGACAGTTCAATATTTGACAGTATTGGGGTTTTGGGGTTTTGGGG